ACTCATTGGGCGGGACAGCTAGCCAGACAGGCGGGACAGCTAGCCAGACAGGCGGGACAGCTAGCCAGACAGGCGGGACAGCTAGCCAGACAGGCGGGACAGCTAGCCAGACAGGCGGGACAGCTAGCCAGACAGACGGGACAGCTAGCCAGACAGGCGGGACAGCTAGCCAGACAGGCGGAACGGCTAGCCAGACAGGCGGGACGGCTAGCCAGACAGGCGGGACGGCTAGCCAGACAGGCGGAACGGCGAGCCAGACAGGCGGTAGGGCTAGCCAGACAGGCGGTAGGGCTAGCCAGACAGACGGTAGGGCTAGCCAGACAGGCGGGACAGCTAGCCAGACAGGCGGGACAGCTAGCCAGACAGGCGGGACAGCTAGCCAGACAGGCGGGACAGCTAGCCAGACAGGCGGGACAGCTAGCCAGACAGGCGGGACAGCTAGCCAGACAGGCGGGACAGCTAGCCAGACAGGCGGGACAGCTAGCCAGACAGGCGGGACAGCTAGCCAGACAGGCGGAACGGCTAGCCAGACAGGCGGGACAGCTAGCCAGACAGGCGGGACAGCTAGCCAGACAAGCGGGACAGCTAGCCAGACAGGCGGGACAGCTAGCCAGGCAGGCGGGACAGCTAGCCAGATAGGCGGGACAGCTAGCCAGACAGGTGGGACAGCTAGCCAGACAGGCGTTACAGCTAGCCAGACAGGCGGGACAGCTAGCCAGACAGGCGGAACAGCTAGCCAGAGATCGAGTTTCTTTCAGACAGACCGTGATGAGAGCGATGTTCTGCGCAAGTCCTGCTACATAATGATGATGCCTATTGCGGTATGTGATAATGGAGGAATTGCTACAGTCTGGCTGTCGTATCCCTAGAAAATTGTATTAACGACAGAAACATACCGTGAAGATTCAACAGAGGGTTAGCCGTGTGTTGCTTCAATACCTCTATTTTACCGGTTAGCTGGTAGCAAGAAACCCAACAGGCAACAGATGTTGTGTGCGGGCAAAAGATCATTATGAATTTTTTAAAAACTTCCAGAATAAGCAGGTGTCAAAAGAAAATAAAGTGTTTACAATAAATATGTTTACATTGCTCTCCCCCGCCGCCAACTGCCAGTGATTACAACCGCGCGTGCACTACAGAGTGCTCGCCACAAACCTTGATCAATGGAATCTGAACCTCGCAGTTTTTAGTCCTCGATACCAGACACAATAATGCAAGGAGGGCGAAACGCACTTTAAAAGAACAAATCAACCAGACGGTAGTGTTTCCCTTGAGGTATTCCAACCTGGATCGAGTGTGTGTATGTGTGTGTTTTTACGATGTTTTGTTAATGCACTAAATACAGTGGAAGTCAACGTGGCGTAGCGGCTAGACGCTTGCTTGCGAATCGGAAGATTGTGAGTTCGGGTCCTGACGAAGCTTAACTTTTGTAAAAAAAAAAAAATGGCCAGATCGACCCAGCCTTGAGGTGTAGTCCTGGGAAGTAAAGGCGGCAGGTGCGATGCTGACCACATCTCCTTCCACGTGCCGCTTGGTCAATTAAATATATAGGTTTAGCCCTATGTGCCCAATACGGCTACAGGAGTGGAAACGGGTCTTTTACTTAATTTATTCTACTGACTTCACTCTGTCACTGATGTGTTTGTAACTAAATGTTATCATTTGGGAGGCCTCAGATGATGATAATAATGATGATGTAGTACTGGCGAGAATGATGGTTGTGGTGGTTGTGGCAGAAATGAAGGTGGGGATGATGAAGTGATGGTGGTGGGGGTTACGACAGTGATATTAATGAAGAGGTTGAGACTGGTGGTTCTGTTAATGATTAGTATGATAATGATGACAATTATGATGATGATGATGATGATGGTTAATGATGATGAAGATGATAATAATGGTGTGACTTACTATTATATCGATCATAACTGTGATGACAACAACGACGATGATACTGATGATGGTAAAAGCGACAACATTAATGAAACATATTACAGTAAATACTTGTGCCACATCCCAGTCGATGCATGCACTGTCACGTTTTAGGAACCAGGAGCCATCTGTCGCTGGCGTGTTTGATGTCGCGCACAGATAGCGTCAACGTCGTGCTGTATCTTCGGGTTATGTTAGTGTTTGCTTCAGTATGTTGCATTTTTCGTTCTTTTGTTTGTCTTGCTATTGCTTTCTTTCTCATTTTTTTCCTATCTTTCCTGTTTTTCTGTCTTCTCACTTTCTGTTTTTCTTTCTTTCTGTCTTCTACTCCTCTTTATCATCGTTCTTCTTCTTCTTCTTCTTCTTCTTCTTCTTCTTCTTCTTCTTCTTCTTCTTCTTCTTCTTCTTCTTCTTCTTCTTCTTCTTCTTCTTCTTCTTCTTCTTCTTCTTCTTCTTCTTCTTCTTCTTCTTCTTCTTCTTCTTCTTCTTCTTCTTCTTCTTCTTCTTCTTCTTCTTTTTCTTCTTCTTCTTCTTCTTCTTCTTCTTCCCTTTCTTCTTTTTCTTTTTCTTCTTCGTCTTCTTCTTCTTCCTCTTCTTTGTCTTCTTCTTCTTTTTCTTCTTCTTCTTCTTCTCTTTTTCTACTTTTTCATTTACCTCTTCTTTTCTTCTCCACTTTTTAAAGTTATTTACCTTGTTATTGCTTCTTTTTTATTATCATAATAGTCATCCCCTTTTCTTGTCTTCTTTTACTATTTCATTCCATGAACGCATATCTAGTTTTCGCATTTCTCGGCCAGGTAACAACATTCCTGGTCTGCCGGCAACACAAGATGGTTTAGCACTGGGACGGGTCATGACCTGCACATGTGGAAATCATTTCTCTACAGTTTTACCCAGCAGGCGCCTCGCAAACATGTGTCTGCACATTGAATATAATCGTCATCATTATCACCATCATCATCGGTCATCGTTAACATCGTCGTCATCGTTATTATCTCATCATTATCATCACATTATCTACATTATCATCTTTTATTATCATAATTATCATCGTCACCATCATCATTATCGTCCTCATCATAACCATCGTTATCATCATCATCGTCATCGTCAACATTATCATCATCATCGTCGTCATCATCATCGTCATCAACCTCATCACCATCACCAGCATCACTCTGTTGTGCTGTCAACAATTTCACATAGGACCCCCAGTCTAGTCCCCCAGTCCGTTCAATTCTGCGCAAACTTTCGCTAACGCATATCTATTTCGCATTTCACGGCCACTTTCGCAAGCATTCCTGGTCTGCCTGCAACACAAGATGGTTTCCGCACTGGGCCGAATCATGACCTGCACATGTGACCACATTTCGCTAGCTACAGTTTTACCCAGCAGGCGCCTCGCAAACATGTGTCTGCACATTGAATATAATCGTCATCATTATCACCATCATCATCGGTCATCGTTGACATCGTCGTCATCGTTATTATCTCATCATTATCATCACATCATCTACATTATCATCATTTATCATCATTATTAACATCGTCACCATCATCATTATCATCCTCATCATAACCATCGTTATCATCATCATCGTCATCATCAACATTATCATCATCATCGTCGTCATCATCATCGTCATCATCATCATCATCATCAACCTCGTCACCATCACCAGCATCACTCTGTTGTGCTGTCAACAATTTCACATAGGACCCGCAGTCTAGTCCCCCAGTCCGTTCAATTTTGCGCAAACTGTTTCGCTAGCACAGATGGAATTTAGACCAGCAGAACTGACCACTTTCGATAGCACAGATGGAATTTAGACCAGCAGAACTGATCACTTTCGCTAACATTTGTTGAATGGTTTTTTCTTCGTTGCCCACGTGCTATCAGTCGGTATGCTCATCACAGAACGGGTTTCATGACTCTCTTGTCATTCTTCTGTATATATTTTAACAACATACGTGGCTTCTGTGTCGGCTGGAATGTTTGCTGTCCCTGCAACACAGAAACTGATACTGGTCCCAGGTCGACGACCCAGCGTAGAATGATCACTGAGCAGTGGCCAGGCCTGCACGTAGTGGCTGTAAGTGCAGCTTACACTTCCCATTGCTACGATACAGTATGTTCACGCAAATTGAGTCAACGGCGAAAGGATCAGGAGAAAAATATCACGTGATACCTACCATCTTGGGTTGACTGTTTTGTCATTACATAATTTTCTCCTTCCTTTTTAATTTATTTACTTAACATTGCATCTTTTGATCTCTTTAGGAACAGGTCAAATGATTATTTCCGAGCATTCACACGTTGATGAAAGGTCAAGTGATTTTTCTCAAGCATTCAAAGTTGATTGGCGTGCTTCTAGGTGCCACGACCCTTCCACTACAAAGTTGATTGGCGTGCTTCTAGGTGTCACGACCCTTCCACTACAAGGTTGATTGGCGTGCTTCTAGGTGTCACGACCCTTCCACTACAAAGTTGATTGGCGTGCTTCTAGGTGTTACGACCCTTCCACTACAAAGTTGATTGGCGTGCTTCTAGGTGTCACGACCCTTCCACTACAAAGTTGATTGGCGTGCTTCTAGGTGTCACGACCCTTCCACAGTTAGGAACTTCCACTTGCTTTATTGGCCTGACGGGGAACCAGCATCACAATTCTCGGAACATTGCCATGAGCACTTTCTTCCAATTTCCAGCAACCAGCCAGGAGTTCTAATGTCCATGATTCTACTGGATGTTTGACGGTACAACCATCTGTTTGACGGTACAACCATCTGTTTGACGGTACAACCATCTGTTTGACGGTACAACCATCTGTTTGACGGTACAACCATCTTGCCTTTCCAATGAGTGTAGAATGTCAGCAACAGTTGATAGGTTTAGATTCGAAAACACAGCACTTAGGACATTTCCATAATTGCTTCGTCCCTATCTCTAGCAGCCAGTGCAGAAGTCAACAGGTGTAACATGTGACAGAATCCTCCGTGACCAATCACACAAGAGAGATTGTAACCAAAAACCTGGCAGCCAACACGACAGCGGAATCAACAATATGAAAACCATGGCGATATGTGGATGTCTCAGAAAGTTCTGGAAGGCACACACGTTATGGCTGCCGTTGCTGATTCCAGTTTTGGCGGCCCCGCTTCCTCTGTTGGGTCAGACCTCAGTAAGTATTCTCTGTTTTATAAAAAAAAAAAAATATCTATTTAATACTTAAGTTAACTCCTTTTTATCCACATGAACGCGCTTTGTAATGCCTGTGAGCCGGGTTCGATCCCAGCTGCGAAGGGTTTGTCTTGCGTTGGTTTCCACTGTGGATGCTTGACTACCGGGTCATTTCCATGGTTACTAATTAGGTAATCTGGCAGTTCTTCTTTCCCTGTCTTTCTAATCCCCAAAGGAGCATGGGCCTCAAGCAATGCACGCCATGTCTGGCAGTTACTGCCTGTATTTACGACTCTTGCGGTGTAGGCAGACAGGCCTTTGTGACTAAGCAATAAAGCCCTACGGCTAGTGCTACCGCCACGGACTGTGCAGATTAGGATTTAAATTTTAGTCCCCGACATAAAGTATTCAGTGAACTTAATTCGAATTCAAACTCGGATCTCCTGTTAGGTAATTGATAGCAAACCAAGAAATATATATAGAAATGGAGAAGATGAAAGCTGCAAAAAGAGACCAACAAACCCATTTCCAAAGCCACATAAGAAGCGCAAGATAAATACAGAAAACCACGACACTGAGCTACAACCTGGTATCACTGAGACGACAAAAGTAGTATCAGTAGTAGTAGCAGAAGAAGAAGAAGAAAAAGAAGAAGAAGAAGAAGAAGAAGAAGAAGAAGAAGAAGAAGAAGAAGAAGAAGAAGAAGAAGAAGAAGAAGAAGAAGAAGAAGAAGAAGAAGAAGAAGAAGAAGAAGAAGAAAGAAGAAGAAGAAGAAGAAGAAGAAGAAGAAGAAGAAGAAGAAGAAGAAAAGAAGAAGAAAAAGAAGAAGAAGAAGGCATAAATCACTAGATCCGTAAATTTAATTAATAATTGCCTAATACTATATTCTTTCTACATTTTCAATACAGTGCAGGCTAATCATATTGTCCGGTGTGTGTGTGTCCAGGTGGCGAAATGTGGTTTCTGTGTGATTGTGATTGGCGTCTACTGGGTCACAGAGGTCATTCCATTGGCCGTGACCTCACTGCTGCCGGTTGTACTGTTTCCGGTGTTCGGGGTGATGACTGCAAGAGATGTTTGCCGGGCCTACGTTCAGGTATGTATCTTTGGGGCCGGGCCTATGTTCAGGTATGTATCTTTGGCGCCGGGCCTACGTTCAGGTGTGTATCTTTGATGCCGGACCTGTGTTTAAATGAGTGTCTTCGACGAAGTCTTTCAACTATAAAAGTCATTAGATATTAGCAATTATAAGCGCTGGTTGTTGGTAGTCTGTTATCACTCTGTTATAACTTCCCAGCAAACGGCCAGCAGTTCTATCCGCCTGTTCATGTCCCAACACACCGTCATTGCCTCAAACAACGATTCTGACAATGGTGTTCACTTGTGACCTCCGAAGCGACGCATGCCACTCTAAGAATGGCTTAAACAGACCGGACTCAAAGCATATAATTACCATATGTACAGTAAATGTCTTAAATTTGGGAACACAACTTTACAACCGACAATATTATGATGTACTTGCAATACACCTTGATGTGCTAAGGTATTCGCTGTATTTACAGAACACCCTGATGATCTTTAGTATCCGTTGTACTTGCAGGACACCCTGATAGTCTGCAGTATTCTCTGTACTCACAGGAGACACTAATACTCTATAGTATCCGCTGTACTCACAGGAGACACTAATACTCTATAGTATCCGCTGTACTCACAGGAGACACTAATACTCTATAGTGTCTGCTGTACTCACAGGAGACACTAATACTCTATAGTATCTGCTGTACTCACAGGAGACACTAATACTCTATAGTGTCTGCTGTACTCATAGGACACACTAATACTCTATAGTATCCGATGTACTTGCAGGACACCCTGATGATCTATAGTATTCGCTGAACTTGCAGGACACCCTGATGATCTATAGTATCCGCTGTACTTGCAGGACACACTGATGATCTATAGTATCAGCTGTACTTGCAGGACACCCTGATGATCTATAGTATCCGTTGTACTTGCAGGACACCCTGATGATCTTTAGTATCCGCTGTACTTGCAGGACACCCTGATGCTCTTTAGTATCCGCTGTACTTGCAGGACACCCTGATGATCTATAGTATCCGTTGTACTTGCAGGACACCCTGATGATCTTTAGTATCCGCTGTACTTGCAGGACACCCTGATGATCTTTAGTATCCGCTGTACTTGCAGGGCACACTGATGATCTATAGTATCCGCTGTACTTGCAGGACACCCTGATGATCTGTAGTATCCGCTGTACTTGCAGGACACCCTGATGCTCTTCCTGGGCAGTCTGATCGTGGCAGTAGCTGTGGAGAAGTGGAACCTCCACAAACGCTTGGCTCTGAGAACCTTAACTCTGGTTGGAACAGATGCCAAGTGGTAAGCAGCATACTATATATCCAGCCATACTGGCTCTGAGAACCTTAACTCTGGTTGGAACAGATTCCAAGTGGTAAGCAGCATACTATATATCCAGCCATACTGGCTCTGAGAACCTTAACTCTGGTTGGAACAGATTCCAAGTGGTAAGCAGCATACTATATATCCAGTTATACTGGCTCTGAGAACCTTAACTCTGGTTGGAACAGATTCCAAGTGGTAAGCAGCATACTATATATCCAACCATATTGGCTCTGCGAACCTTAACTCTGGTTGGACAGATTCCAAGTGGTAAGCAGCATACTATATATCCAGCCATACTGGCTCTGAGAACCTTAACTCTGGTTGGAACAGATTCCAAGTGGTAAGCAGCATATACTATATATCCAGCCATACTGGCTCTGAGAACCATAACTCTGGTTGGAACAGATTCCAAGTGGTAAGCAGCATACTATATATCCAGCCATACTGGCTCTGAGAACCTTAACTCTGGTTGGAACAGATTCCAAGTGGTAAGCAGCATACTATATATCCAGCCATACTGGCTCTGAGAACCTTAACTCTGGTTGGAACAGATTCCAAGTGGTAAGCAGCATACTATATATCCAGCCATACTGGCTCTGAGAACCTTAACTCTGGTTGGAACAGATTCCAAGTGGTAAGCAGCATACTATATATCCAGTTATACTGGCTCTGAGAACCTTAACTCTGGTTGGAACAGATTCCAAGTGGTAAGCAGCATACTATATATCCAACCATATTGGCTCTGCGAACCTTAACTCTGGTTGGAACAGATTCCAAGTGGTAAGCAGCATACTATATATCCAGCCATACTGGCTCTGAGAACCTTAACTCTGGTTGGAACAGATTCCAAGTGGTAAGCAGCATACTATATATCCAGCCATACTGGCTCTGAGAACCATAACTCTGGTTGGAACAGATTCCAAGTGGTAAGCAGCATACTATATATCCAGCCATACTGGCTCTGAGAACCTTAACTCTGGTTGGAACAGATTCCAAGTGGTAAGCAGCATACTATATATCCAGCCATACTGGCTCTGAGAACCTTAACTCTGGTTGGAACAGATTCCAAGTGGTAAGCAGCATACTATATATCCAAACCATACTGGCTCTGAGAACCTTAACTCTGGTTGGAACAGATTCCAAGTGGTAAGCAGCATACTATATATCCAACCATACTGGCTCTGAGAACCTTAACTCTGGTTGGAACAGATTCCAAGTGGTAAGCAGCATACTATATATCCAACCATACTGGCTCTGAGAACCTTAACTCTGGTTGGAACAGATTCCAAGTGGTAAGCAGCATACTATATATCCAACCATACTGGCTCTGAGAACCTTAAAACTCTGGTTGGAACAGATTCCAAGTGGTAAGCAGCATACTATATATCCAACCATACTGGCTCTGAGAAACCTTAACTCTGGTTGGAACAGATTCCAAGTGGTAAGCAGCATACTATATATCCAACCATACTGGCTCTGAGAACCTTAACTCTGGTTGGAACAGATGCCAAGTGGTAAAGCAGCATACTATATATCCAACCATACTGGCTCTGAGAACCTTTAACTCTGGTTGGAACAGATGCCAAGTGGTAAGCAGCATACTATTTATCCAACCATACTGGCTCTGAGAACCTTAACTCTGGTTGGAACAGATGCCAAGTGGTAAGCAGCATACTATTTATCCAACCATACTGGCTCTGAGAACCTTAACTCTGGTTGGAACAGATGCCAAGTGGTAAGCAGCATACTATATATCCAGCCATACTGGCTCTGAGAACCTTAACTCTGGTTGGAACAGATGCCAAGTGGTAAGCAGCATACTATATATCCAACCATACTGGCTCTGAGAACCTTAACTCTGGTTGGAACAGATGCCAAGTGGTAAGCAGCATACTATTTATCCAACCATACTGGCTCTGAGAACCTTAACTCTGGTTGGAACAGATGCCAAGTGGTAAACAGCATACTATATATCCAGCCATACTGGCTCTGAGAACCTTAACTCTGGTTGGAACAGATGCCAAGTGGTAAGCAGCATACTATATATCCAACCATATTGGCTCTGAGAACCTTAACTCTGGTTGGAACAGATGCCAAGTGGTAAGCAGCATACTATATATCCAACCATACTGGCTCTGAGAACCTTAACTCTGGTTGGAACAGATGCCAAGTGGTAAGCAGCATACTATATATCCAACCATACTGGCTCTGAGAACCTTAACTCTGGTTGGAACAGATGCCAAGTGGTAAGCAGCATACTATATATCCAACCATACTGGCTCTGAGAACCTTAACTCTGGTTGGAACAGATGCCAAGTGGTAAGCAGCATACTATATATCCAACCATACTGGCTCTGAGAACCTTAAACTCTGGTTGGAACAGATGCCAAGTGGTAAGCAGCATACTATATATCCAACCATACTGGCTCTGAGAACCTTAACTCTGGTTGGAACAGATGCCAAGTGGTAAGCAGCATACTATATATCCAACCATACTGGCTCTGAGAACCTTAACTCTGGTTGGAACAGATGCCAAGTGGTAAGCAGCATACTATATATCCAAACCATACTGGCTCTGAGAACCTTAACTCTGGTTGGAACAGATGCCAAGTGGTAAGCAGCATACTATATATCCAACCATACTGGCTCTGAGAACCTTAACTCTGGTTGGAACAGATGCCAAGTGGTAAGCAGCATACTATATATCCAACCATACTGGCTCTGAGAACCTTAACTCTGGTTGGAACAGATTCCAAGTGGTAAGCAGCATACTATATATCCAACCATACTGGCTCTGAGAACCTTAACTCTGGTTGGAACAGATGCCAAGTGGTAAGCAGCATACTATATATCCAACCATACTGGCTCTGAGAACCTTAACTCTGGTTGGGAACAGATTCCAAGTGGTAAGCAGCATACTATATACCCAAACATACTGGCTCTGAGAACCTTAACTCTGGTTGGAACAGATTCCAAGTGGTAAGCAGCATACTATATACCCAACCATACTGGCTCTGAGAACCTTAACTCTGGTTGGAACAGATTCCAAGTGGTAAGCAGCATACTATATACCCAACCATACTGGCTCTGAGAACCTTAACTCTGGTTGGAACAGATTCCAAGTGGTAAGCAGCATACTATATATCCAACCATATTGGCTCTGCGAACCTTAACTCTGGTTGGAACAGATTCCAAGTGGTAAGCAGCATACTATATATCCAACCATACTGGCTAGCTCGTTCTTACATGCATTATGTCTTTCCCAACTGTTTCTTCTTTTTCTTCTTTCGGTTGCTGGAAATAGATAATCTGTATCTGCAATTCTGTCCCTAGAATGAACTTCACTGACTTACGAATAGTGATGGGAGAGGTCAAAGGTGATGGGCAGGATTCCATCCGTGACATGGAAGTGGTTGCACAGAATGCAACAGAGTGAGGGAATAGCCTGAGATCTCTATGTGAGATATAATGGTACAACAGCATGATGACGACGTTTATGATGAGGATGCCCTAAATATTTCTCCGAGTACTTTATTATTTCTTAAAACAACAAAAGTTGTCCCCCTGCCCCTTCTCCCCCCCCCCCCACTTCCCCACCCCCGCCCATCCAGAACATATACCCTCTCTTTTTGAATATAACTGTTTCCATGTAATATGACAACATTTTCTGTTCTGTCCTCACCTTTACGGACTGAATTCATTTTTACTGTCAGGATTCTAACATAGACACATACGTATAAGTAATTTAAGTTTTTCAATATTACTTTCTTTATTTCTTTTGTGCACACCACAACATGGGACCGTTCTGTGTTTTGGTGTCTGTCAAACACACAGCATTTCATTGTATTGTGTTTGCGCAGCGCCTTTTTTCCTCCTCTGTCTGTGTATTTCAATGAGGCATTGACTGTAAACAAACTGACACCAGCTTTACCTAGATGTTGCTCTCTGCACGCCCGGTATCTCCCCTAACTTGTTCAGCTCACTTTCTGTTTCTCCAATGCAGGAACACTCTGGTTATATTGTAGTTCGCTTCTCCCAATGTGTCCTATCGAACGTGCCGTACCCGCTGGCGTGGGTGTCGCTGGTTGATCACGTGTCTGTTGTTTGTTGCCAGGCTGCTGCTCGGTGTGATGTTGCCCACCTGGTTCCTCTCCATGTGGATGAGCAACACGGCCACCACAGCCATGATGATGCCCATAGTCACGGCCATATTGCTACAGGTCAAAGAGTCCCAGCTGCAGGGTGAGTCCCACAGGTATCCATTTATTTCTTGACAACAAACAACTTTTCTTCTAGCTCGTTTATTGAATAATTTCCATCGACATTTTTAGCTGTATCTTTATTCAAAGTTTCTTTTGTTCGTGTTCGTATTAATTTGTTTGTGCATTCATAGAGAGAGAAATGATATTCCCAATTATGAGGTTCAGTTTGTGACAAGTTCGCATGAGCACGCGCTTCCGCTAAAAAACAACACTGCAAAAGTTAAATAACTATACTCTCTCTGATTGTAGTATTTTTCGGTGACATTGTTCTCCTGTCCTCGGATTGGGGCATTGCCCAGTTCATTTGCCGTCTTCTCCTACTCAGTATTGTCTAGTTAGATTATTTTTCTCTCCTGTCCTGTCTGCTTTGTCCAGTTACTTTAAGGTCCTCCCCTTTAATGTCTGCTTTGTCCAGTTACTTTATTGTCCTCCGCTTAAATGTCTGCTTTGCCCATTTACTTTGTCCTCTTTTCTGACTTCATTATTGTCTAGCTACATTATTGTTCCCTCTGCTGACTTCAGTAGTCAACTATTATTTGGACACTCGATACCACTGTCGAATCAACACAAAACGGTCTGCTGCCAAGTAGCCTGCTGCTGTAATCGAAACCGGTATTTCGCAATCACAATTGTCATAATGTCCTCTAAATTCAATTCAATATCATCCGCTAATTCCTGTATTGTCCTCTGATTTCAGTATTTGCCTCTGGTGACTGTCCTAGATATGCTAAAACAATTGATTTCCTCTAATTTCGTAAATTAGACACGCAGGAGGAGATGATGATAGACAACAAAAGCAGACAAGATGTCGGAGCTGAAGGGTTGGATAGTAATTACCTGGAGATGAAAGAAACAATGAAAGCTGAAATGAATCAAGAGAGGTAATAAGTAATTCAGTACTACTGTTTGTTTTATTGCTATCTGCTCCGGAATATTCTCATCTAACTCTTTTGCGCTTTTCTTTCTGTCCATCAGTTTCTTTCTCCTTTCTCTCGTATTCTTCTTTCTCCTTCTCATGTTCCCCCTTGTCTTCTTAGTTGTAGCAGTCATCTTTGTGCGTGAGCGAGCGTGAGTGTGTGTGTTTATCGTCATAATCATCATCACCACCATCATCGTCATCATCGTTTCTATATTCTTCTTCTTCTTCTGCCTTTCTAGCTTATTGTGGAGCATGGGCCCATAACCAACTCATGCCAAGTTATTCTATCGTTCGCTATCGCCTGCAGCTCTCCAAAAGCTTCTTTTTAACTTCACTCTCTATATCCGTGATTTTTTTTCTCTACCTATGTATCTATTTCCCTATGGGTTCCAGTGCAAAGACATTCTAGTTATATTGTTATCAGGTTTTCTCAACCGGTGTCCTATCCAACGACATCGTCTTTTTTTACCTCTTGGTCCACTGGAACTTGTTTAGTTTTCTCCCAAAGCTCTTGGTCCACTGGAACTTGTTTAGTTCTCTCCCAAAGCTCTTGGTCCACTGGAACTTGTTTAGTTTTCTCCCAAAGCTCTTGGTCCACTGGAACTTGTTTAGTTTTCTCCCAAAGCTCTTGGTCCACTGGAACTTGTTTAGTTCTCTCCCAAAGCTCTTGGTCCACTGGAACTTGTTTAGTTCTCTCCCAAAGCTCTTGGTCCACTGGAACTTGTTTAGTTTTCTCCCAAAGCTCTTGGTCCACTGGAACTTGTTTAGTTCTCTCCCAAAGCTCTTGGTCCACTGGAACTTGTTTAGTTTTCTCCAAAGTCTTGGTCCACTGAACTCTCTCCCAAAGCTCTTGGTCCACTGGAACTTGTTTAGTTTTCTCCCAAAGCTCTTGGTCCACTGGAACTTGTTTAGTTCTCTCCCAAAGCTCTTGGTCCACTGGAACTTGTTTAGTTCTCTCCCAAAGCTCTTGGTCCACTAGAACTTGTTTAGTTTTCTCCAAAGCTCTTGGTCCACTAGAACTTGTTTAGTTCTCTCCCAAAGCTCTTGGTCCACTGGAACTTGTTTAGTTCTCTCCCAAAGCTCTTGGTCCACTGGAACTTGTTTAGTTCTCTCCCAAAGCTCTTGGTCCACTGGAACTTGTTTAGTTCTCTCCCAAAGCTCTTGGTCCACTGGAACTTGTTTAGTTTTCTCCCAAAGCTCTTCATTAGTGATTCTATCATACCATTCAATTCCCTCTATTCTGCGCAGGCATCAGTTAATGTCTGTAGTTTATCAGTAATTGTCTTAGTTGTTCTTCCCTTTACGCTCCAACCAACAGTACTGATTTTATATCAGAATTTAAAAAACTTTAGTTCAGTTTTAGTTTGAATTTCTTTTGACCTCCACAAATTTCCCAGTGCCATGAAAGCTCCTCTTGTCTTTTGTATTCATACTTTTAATATCTCTATCAGTTCCCCCATCTTGATCTACATGATTGCCCAAAAAGGTCAGAATTATTATTAATATTGTGACGTGAGCATACCAATCCGAACATATTATAAAACAAACAAACACACACACACACACACACACACACACACACACACACACACACACACACACACACACACACACACACACACACACACACACACACACACACACACTCATTGATTTCCCTTCAGCAGCCGAAACTTTTTTGTTTAAATTTCACCTTTTAAATTCATACTTTTAATATCTCTATCAGCTTCACTATCTTGATCTGCAGTATTGCCCAATAGTTCATGATTATTAATTATTACTATAATAATAATTCATGCTTATTGTTACTGTCTAATTTTTCTTCGTCTTCTTCACTTACGTGTACATATTATAAAACACACACACACTCATGATTGATTTCCCTTCAGCAGCCGATCAATTTTTTTTTAAACTTTACTCCTGTTTTGACTGCAAACCGTTTACTTAAACCAGTTGCTGTCAACATTCCTAACGCAGCGACAATTTAATACAGTTGCCTCATGTTGTGACAACCCCAAAACAATTATTTCCCTTTATAACTACAATGAATGTATGTGCTCTGCTGGTTTTAGGCGACCCTTGTCAAAAAGTCGTTTAACCCAAAAAAGTGTCGCGACCACCTTGTTGAGAACCGCTGACTTAAACCATCATCTGTGCGCACCGCACACTCTGAGCGTTTATACCTGGCTTACAAAACGTTTCACTTTTTGCTCTTGAACACCAGTTACTTGTTTTTAGTTCTTATTTAGCTTGTGAATACAATGTCTTGCCCAGCACTGTGGATATGGATAGCCAGCGCGAGACTGCTGTAGACGACAGAAGCGTGTCCGCTGTAGCAGTGGAGGGGGCGCAGAATAACTATATGGAGACAAATCCGACGAAGACAGTTGTTGACGCCAAAGAAGAAAGGTACCTATGTACTTAATCGAAGATGAGCTACTAACCTGAAATGGTTGTCTTTCGTGGTTATGTTCTGGTACATATTCTACATATACTTATCCGGTTTATCTGCTCCTCCTTCCTCTCTACCCCTGCCCTATCTTTCTTCGTCTTCTTTCTCTTCCACATCCTCATTATTTTCACCATCTACTTGTTTTAAGTAGACGTGAATTACCCTTTGCCACGCCTTGAGGCCTGTTGTTGGGTGAGCATTTCTATTATAGACCAAATCGGTGGGTATTGTGGTCAAAATTATACCGCCGCACACATTCAATGCTGGGTGACATGAGAGCAACGATCATTTAAAAAAAAAAAAAATCTGGCACCGTCAGAACCGAACGCACGACCTTCGTGGCTAGCATTTAGCCGCTACACTATGTCTGCTCCCTTGAGTACTGATACCATGTTAGACACTTTGTAGACTGTCTAGATAAATATCACTGAATTCAACACACAGAGTTCCCTGTCATGTCCCCATATGGTTGCTGACGCATTGACATAAAAAAAGTGTTTTTGTCATCTTATTACGTATCTGATGATATTGTCTTGTACGTCCTTATAGTAATATTGAGAGAGAGAACGAACGAACGAACGAACGAACTTTTTTTTTTTAAAGGGTTACAAATTGGGCACGCAGGCCCGTCTTACATTCGGCCCTTCCAAACACCCGTCTTTCACACTGCAGCTGAATTTTATCAATAAGCATGTGATATTTATATAATTATATGCATATTATGAATATCTTCTTCTTCTCTTCCTCTTTTACGGCTGTGGGTGTCGAGAGAGATATAAGGTTCTGTTTCTAGCTGTTTCTAGAATATCAACACACAAAAAAAGAGTAGAAAAAAGAAAACACACAAAAGAATAGGTGGTAAAATGCATGCACACGAGCACACACACACACACACACCCATACACTCACACACCCATATACCTTCACACACACATAAACACACCCCATTCACCAACATACAAAGCTACATACCCACACAGACACGCACATTCCACACACATACAAACATACAGATATAAACACAGAGACACACACATAGAAATAAATGCAGACACATACACACAAACAGACATACGCGCACATACCCAATCACACACGCGGATACACACACACAGACACAAACATGCGACACACACACACACAAACCAGCATACACACACGCAGACACACTGACACATATGCACAAATACACGCAGACTCAAACACAAACAGATGCACTCGGAGACACACAAACACACACACAATCGCAGACACACACACGCGCTGATGCTTACGCAGACACACACACACACACAGAGACACACACACGCAAACACATACGCAGACATACATATACACAGTCACACACGCAGATACACATATACACACATGTTGACACATCCAAAGAACTACACAAAGAGATACACACAGAGACATACACATATATATACACACAGCGACGCGCATATACACAGGCAATTACCCAGACACACATACACATAAAGGCACATACACAGACACACCCACAAACACAACAAAGACACGCAGGCAGACACACAGCTACATACACGTGAAACACACATACAAGCAAACACATGTAGACACATATACACATACAGACACATACACAAAGTCCTACAGGGGCAAACACACACATACACACAAACAAACACACACAGACACACATACATAGATACACACCCACAGACACACAATACAAATATCCTTACACACAGAGACGCACATATACACAGGTATTCATGTCAACACACAAAAACACACAGGCACATACCAACACACACACACACACACAGGGAGAGAGAGATAGAGAGAGAGAGAGAGAGAGGAGAGAGAGAGAGAGAGAGAGAGAGAGAGAGAGAGAGAGAGAGTAGAGAGAATGAGAGAGAATCTATTTCGAGAGAGAGTTTTTTTGAACTAATCTAGCCTTTGCATTCATCAACATATCTGGCTTATTTATATGTAGACTGTTGGTTCCTTGTGTCTTGGGTAGGCGAACTCCAAGGAAATCCTAATGAGTTGTTATTGGGAACCAGAGGAAATAGGAGAAAAACTTGCTCTACACATCATTTGCTCTACAGAACAACAAAAGTGGAAGACACTGCCCCGTGTAGAATTACTTCTGCTTCTTCTTCTTTACGAAGGTCTATAGGTAGAGAGGGATAGTTCAGGTTGCTGCATCAAGCTGGTGCTCATGTGTGTAAACGTGAGAATTAAACGTAGGCAGATCATTTCTAGACATGTTCTCAACTTGAGAATACATGGGTCATAAACTCATGAGGCACGTTTGGCGTTGAGTTGCTGTTGACAGCATGTCTGTGGTATCTGCGTCTTTCAAGCCAGCACATATGATTTTGACGAGACCATAATCTTCCTTTACGACTTGTCTGTTAAGTGACAGTCAGTCCACTTACACTTGGAGCACAAAGTAGTCGAAGAAGAAACGTAAACCAACACAGAATTAGTGTAATTTGTCGCCAAATGCTGAAGGATATAATGAGGATTGTACCAGAGCTTGTATAGACGTATGTACAATGAGGATAATATGTTGATTATCAAATTAACTAACACTAGGAGCACAACTCTGTAACGTGTCCCCAAAAAAAAAAGTTTGTAATCAGGATATGCTTACACTAGGAGCACAACTCTGTAACGTGTCCCCAAACAAGTGTGTAACCAGATATGCTTACACTAGGAGCACAACTCTGTAACGTTGTCCCCAAACAAGACAGTTTGTAACCAGGATATGCTTACACTAGGAGCACAACTCTGTAACATGTCTGTGGTAACAAGAAAGTTTGTAACCAGCTGATATGATTTACACTAGAGCACAGATCTCTGTAACGTCTCCCCAAACAAGACTTGTTTGTAACCAGTGACAGTATGTCTTTACACTAGACAAAGCACAACTCTGTAACGTGTCCCCAAACAAGAAAGTTTGTAACCAGGATATGCTTACACTAGGAGCACAACTCTGTAACGTGTCCCCAAACAAGAAAGTTTGTAACCAGGATATGCTTACACTAGGAGCACAACTCTGTAACGTGTCCCCAAAAAGAAAGTTTGTCACCAGGATATGCTTACACTAGGAGCACAACTCCTATGCTTATGTACTTAAACTGGGATATTTTCGCTTTCAGTGCAATATCAAACAGAGCAGAAAAAGAGAAGAAATTCTTGGGATTCGCCAAGACGTTTTCTTTAGCAGTTGCTTTCAGTTCCAACATCGGCGGTATGGCCACACTAACTGGGACACCGCCTAATGTTATCTTCAAAGGCATTGCCGACAGGTGAGATGTCTCACTATTCGTACATCCGTTCGTACGTCTATCTATCAATCCATCCATTCATCCATCAATTCAACCATTCATCCATCCATTCATCCCCCCATCCATCCACCCATCCATCCATCTATATATTTATATATCTATGCTTTATTGATAGAATACACAACTGCTATGTGAAAGATTGTTATTTGGAGTGAAGACAGGTCTGCGTTCCTAATTTGTGAACCTTGGAAAAAAAAATTCCTTCACTCGTTTCGTCTATCTATCTATCTATCTATCTATCTATCTATCTATCTATCTATCTATCTATCTATCTATCTATCTATCTATCTATCTATCTATCTATCTATCTATCTATCTATCTATCTATCTATCTATCTATCTATCTATCTATCTATCTATCTATCTATCTATCTATCTATCTATCTGTCTATCTATCTGTCCTGTCTATCTATCTGTCTGTCTGTCTGTCTGGTCGTCTGTCTGTCTGTCTGGCTGTCCTGTCTGTCTGTCTGTCTGTCTGTCTGTCTGTCTGTCTGTCTGTCTGTCTGTCTGTCTGTCTGTCTGTCTGTCTGTCTGTCTGTCTGTCTGTCTGTCTGTCTGTCTGTCTGTCTGTCTGTCTGTCTGTCTGTCTGTCTGTCTGTCTGTCTGTCTGTCTGTCTGTCTGTCTGTCTGTCTGTCTGTCTATCTATCTATCTATCTATCTGTTTCCTGTCTTCTCCTAGTTACCTAGGTTGTGTTAAAGTCATATTTTGTTTATGTAGTGTCTCTTTTACTCCTTCTACCCATTTTTTCTTGGTCGGCCTCTTGCTGTGTAAATAAACAGAGGGGGGGGGGCATTTGAGGCGTTAAATATTATGAATTAATCAAGTAACAGAAGTATATTGTGAACGGGCACTCATAGAAAGAAGTATAAAGATATAAGAACACACTAGACAACATAAAAATCGAAAGCTATAGTTACCGTGCTCGGAATTGAACCTGTCACCTCCAGACGCGTCTGCGCCTCGCCATGATACAAGTGCACTCTGTTTATTTATAGAATGACGTATACTCACCGGAACTACCAATCCAAATACCTTTCTTAACTCTTGTGTGTATTCTAGACAAAGCAATAAGGTCTTACTGTTTTCGTAAATTGTTGCTGTGAGGGGATGTTATTCGACATTTGCTTCGTTAATCTAAATTTCTGTAACCTATGGTGCCATTTCAATGGGTTTTAAATGAATTCTTCCGTATTCCATATCGTGGATTTCAAGCTGTACGATAGACATGGCCACTGAGACAACACTTTTTTTGGGGGTGCCTAGTCTGACCATGTATCTTAGTGGCACTGTATTCATGGCGATGGCGCAGACGCCGGGGGGGGAGCGTCTGGAGGTGACAGGTTCAAGTCCTGGCACGGTAACTATTGCTTCCGATTTTTATGTTGTCTAGTGTGTTCTTCTATCTTTCTACTTCTTTCTATGAGTGCCGTTCACAATACTTTCTGTTACTTGATTAATTCTCTTGCTGTGTAGCGTGCTGCTCTCACGTAGAACGCTGTAGCTGGTGGCTGATTTTGTTTCATTCTGACCAGATGACTAAACCATTCAATTTTTTGGTGTTCTGCGAGATCATTCAGCAATACTGTGCTTTTTGTTCTTATTTCTTCGTTGGTATCTCTTATCTCTTCTTTTTTTTTTCTTTGCGTCGCATTTCTTATACATCTAATCTCCTATGTTGCAATGTTATGTTTGCCCAATCATTTAATCCGAAAAAAAATGCTTTCAGCCTGTCTATTTTTTTTTTTTTTTTTGCCTGTCCACCTGCCTAATTTTTTAAATATTTATTTGTTTTTCTTTGTGTTATTTGCATGTCAATCTATCGGTCCGTCTCTGTGTTTTCACCTCCTATTTTATCTTAAAGCAATACATTTGATTGATTTCCTCTCTATAGTTATCTATGATCGTTTCTTGTTTATGGTCTCTTCGTGACAAGTGTAGTCTGTACACAAAACTTGACGCCAACAACCCAGTGGACTTTGCCAACTGGTTGATCGTGGGAATGCCACTGGCAGTTATCCTCTTTGTATTTCTCTGGGTTTGGATGCAGCTCTACTCCGAAGGATTTAGGTAAGCCTATGTCTACTTATTTTCTCGATTATAGCTCTAATCTATTTTGAATATACATCTGATTAAATTTCTCTGTATAATTTTAATGCATTTCTGCATATATCTTTGCATATATTTCTTGACATAATTTTGCATATAATTTGTAACGATTTCCTGCTTCAAATCGGTGTCACCATATTAACCAAGAGAGATTCTCCACTCTATGGCCGAGTTCCGCACGTAGGGTTTTTCCATCCAGAACTTTTCCGCTGGAGTGTAAAGCCGGTGAAAGCGAAAAAGTATCAAATCGGTACTCAGTTGCTTCTTTCGACATGCACGATAACGGCCTCAAAGGTTAACCCCCCCCCCCCCCCCCCCTGTTTTTTTATACGATAAGGATAAGCTGGTTTGTTCTCCCACAACCCCTTCTCCATACAAAATGGTTCCCGAAACAAACACAGGAGTTCTATGATGAACCCACACAGGAGTTCTATGATGAACCCACACAGGAGTTCTATGATGAACCCACACAGGAGTTCTATGATGAACTCACACAGGAGTTAATAAAAGTATTAAAAGTATAAGTTTAAACGCTAGCAGAGAATTGTGTGACCAATCTTCTTAAAGTCCATGCCGTGTGGCGTTGGTAGTCATGTTTATCTACAACCTTCTGTCTCATGTCTTGTCCTTCTCAAAGTCCATGCCGTGTGGCGTTGGTAGTCATGTTTATCTACAACCTTCTGTCTCCAGTCTTGTTCTTCTTAAAGTCCATGCCGTGTGGCGTTGGTAGTCATGTCCATCCACAACCTTCTGTCTTGTGTATGTTCAGTCAACTCTGACACATATGATCCCCCATGTCATGATGTCAAACTATCCAGCATCTTCTCTCCGAGTCTTGCTCTGCCTCTCCTTCCCTCCAGCTTTCCAACTGTCACGATGTACTCCAGTTTTCTCCTTCTCATGACACGAATAAATAATATAGACTATCTCCTTCTGTCTGATGTGGGCAATGAGTTCTCTCTGTGGGTCGATTTCGATGAAATCATTTTCATTACTCTGTGCACCTGTCCAGTCTATTCTCATCATCCCCTTTTGAAACCACATCTCCACAGCTTCCAAATAAACCAGTCAACACTCAATTCTTTTGCGTATTTAACATCTCGCAGGTCATCCTTACTTTTCCGGTTATTTCCATGTCACTATTTTTAGGTTGTCAACCCGAGCAGCTAGGTCGCCTTATTCAAATCTGTTTCAGCGTGCGGATTCGAACCCATTATTGCCACGATGCCAAGTAAGAGAGTCGGCCACTGCAAGCAAGGGAAGTAAACTTGAAGGGAAATATGAGGCGTATGGTGCTAGATCTTTACTATTTTAGACCAACCGGCACTGTTTGGCTGATGCGATCATACTCTTCATAGGACGGCCTTGACATACAAGGTGAATACCTGGTACCCATTTGGATGACTTCCTAGTCAAGGTAGATTTATTTTCTAAATCCCCCAGATAAGAGTTCGAATTAGATCCGCACTGTACCAGCTATGTTTTGTCAATCGTATATAACCACATCGATGTGTGTCATACCATTAACAAGATGAATGATTGGCCTCTACTGAAGGTGTCTGCAGTTCTGGAAAAAGGATTCCACATCGTATGAAAAAGTCCGCACGTCTTTGAATGGAGGAGTATAAAAACATGGGCTCCATGACGTAAGCGACTAATGTTTCCTGTCCGCTCATTTGATTATACTCAATGATTGCATGTTTCCTGTCCGCTCATTTGATTATACTTAATAACTGCATTTGTTATGTCAACGTGATTTTTTTTTTTTTAGGTTATACTTTACTTAATGATAGCCGCTATAGTGTAGTGGCTAGACACATTCGTGTGTTCAAATCCGAACAGCGCCGGACTTTTAAAACAAAATATCAATTCCACTTCCTAAATGAGCTTGGCTCCCGGGCTTAAAGTCCTGTGAATTAAAGGCGGTCGGCGGCATGTTAACCACATCACCCACCCAGTGCCGAATGGTGTATAATATATAGATTTAGCCCTATATACCCATCAAACCTGAAGGCGTGGGCCAGGGTCATTTATTTTACTTTCCTGACACATGTGTATAGATCAATCAACATTGTCCCTTTCCCCAGTCAGCTGCTGTTCGAACATTAACGATATATATTTCTTCTTCAGTTTCTTCTGTAAATTCCGATGGAAAATTCTGGCTGTTCGTCCACTTGTGGACCCTAGTCATACTCCAGATACTAATATTGCGTGCACATCCGTTGCACAGATCGACTCATTTGCAAGGCAGACTGTTGGTTCCTCTCAAGACTTCGAGGGAAGCTCCAATTTAGTCGACTCTTACGACATGCTTTTGGACATGAAGTGGGTCGATTCTTCTTTTCCCCACAATGGGCCCTGGAACCCACACTGATAGGCATTTTGTTGCTCAAACTGTGCGCTGTCAGTGACGACACAACACGGTCAGAACTTGCAAGTAGAACCACGCATTTTCCCACGTGTGGGTTCCCGGGCTCCATGCTAGAGAACAACAAGTAGTCCCACTGCCTCTCCCCTCCCCCATTCCTCTTCTTCCACAACCCACCCGCCCCCCCCCCCCCCCGCTCCCTCCTCCTCCCCCTCTCCCCTTAATTAAAACAAAAACCAGAAACATTTCAGTGGAGACGACTACTTGTCGTCGATTTATGTAAAGTCAGAACGCTTCTGTCTGAGAGGTCTAGAACCAACATGCACAATATACGCTAGATAACTAAAACGCTTGTTGTCAATAAAGACCAGTGTCAAGGAATTTTACAACTGTTGAACGCTAGAAAGAAGAAGAATCATGAAGAAGAAAAGACAAGAAGAAGTCAAGAAGAATTTTAATAAGAGCTGGTGAACGCTAGAAGAAGAAGAAGAAGAAGAAGAAGAAGAAGAAGAAGAAGAAGAAGAGAAGAAGAAGAAGAAGAAGAAGAAGAAGAAGAAGAAGAAGAAGAAGAAGAAGAAGAAGAAGAGAAAGAAGAAGAAGAAGAAGAAGAAGAAGAAGAAGAAGAAGAAGAAGAAGAAAAGAAGAAGAAGAAGAAGAAGAGCTCTTCGAAGAAGAAGAAGAAGAAGAAGAAAGAAGAAGAAGAAGAAGAAGAAAGAATCCTGAAGAGAAGAAGAAGGAAGAAGAGAAGCAGAAGAAGAAGAAGAAGAAGAAAAGAAGAAGAAGAGAAGAAGAAGAAGGAAGAGAAGAAGAAGAAGAAGAAGAAGAAGAAGAAGAAGAAGAAGAAGAAGAAGAAGAAAGAAAGAAGAAGAAGAAGAAGAAAAAAAAAAAAGAAAAGAAGAAAAGAAGAAAAAAAGAAGAAGAAGAAGAAGAAGAAGAAGAAGAAGAAGAAAAAGAAGAAGAAGAAGAAGAAGAAGAAGATTAAGAATAACAAGAAGAACAAGAAGAACGAGAAGAACAAGAACAAGAAGAACAAGCAGAAGAAGAAAAACAAGAAGAACAAGAAGAACAAGAAGAACAAGAAAAATTGAAGCATGCTTACTAACTAAAAGACATGGCTCTAGTGGAGCTTAGGCCCTCGACGAACTCGCGAAAAGTCGTCCAGTTAATTGCTGACTCCTTAGTTTCGCTTTCTGCGTTTGTTTAGTCTACATTTTTTTTTCTGCGTGTACAGATTCCATTAGAAAGAAATTATTGTTATATTTCTCTCTGTTTTTCCAATGTGTGTCCTATCAAACGCCTTCCTATTTTCTTCACCTCTTGATTTATCATTTCAGCTCCACACAGAAGTAGTGGCGGGACACTAGAGCTATTTCAGATGTTAGATGTTGAATTAAGAATTGACATCATAGCACTCGGGACGCTTTTATAAGCTCACCGTCCCCATCTTCAGAGCACGCGAAGAGTTCCGATTCCGAGATACCACTAGCTGTCTAAATGAACATCCATCTCGCCCTTCCCTTGGGTGCTGAGCAACCGCCAGATATCCTGGTAACTCTCCCACAGCGCCATTCTCCTCAAACCGCAATGATCTGTTTGTGCATCCTCACTTTTCACCCACTGCCAAAGGACCTCACAACACCTAGCTTGACATACGCCAATTTACCACCAAGTGGCACGGAACCCTCTGTCTGCTCGTTTTTCAACACACCAGCTTGACATGGAGAAAAAATCCAAACTACAATAACTACCAGGGACCTATGAAGCGATGTTTGACACTCTGCAATGAGCATTTGTCTCCACCTTTCTCAACATATTCTGTGAGCTAAATGGGTTTTAAGTTTAGTACTGGTTGTAATTTGTTCGACATTTCCTATTTCAATGAAAATTCATATTTCCCTTTGTATTCGTAATTTATTAAAGTATACAAAATTTAATCACATTTCTCCATAGATTCCCAGAGATAATGGTACTGATAAAATTCATCGTTCTGGCTATACTTTGGGTTTCGAGAAAGCCCGGCTTTGTTCCAGGCTGGAGCGATCTATTTTTGCCGGGGTAAGTCAGTTCTGTGTTGTTCAGAAATATTTAGCGGTGGTATATGTAACTGAAGAAATCTAAACTGACACGGGATAACACAGGCAGACAATCAGTCAAGGAGATCATTTGTGAATGTCTTTTGTGTCAACAGCAATATAAAGAGGGTACAGCTATCGATAGATTAGGCAATAGCAAAGGGCTCTCAATATAACAATGAAAGATATAATAAACAATTATGAAATCCGAAGGAGAATGGCGGTAGCGGCAACTCCAAATTTCTGTAGAAAACATGTGATATGGTTTTGCTTTTAACATGGATGTCAGCAAACAGTATTCTAGAAATTCATATTTACCAAGTGCATAGACAAGCAACTTCACCTCGACACCATGAGGTTCCAGAGGATCATAGACAAGCAATTTCACCTCGACACCATGAGGTTCCAGAGGATCATAGACAAGCAACTTCACCTCGACACCATGAGGTTCCAGAGGATCAGGTTGAGATGAGATGACAATGAGCTAATTGCGTCCCATGAACAACCCAACATTAAATGTTCTTAGTTAGTCGACAGCAAAAAGAATGGTTTGCCAGCATAAAGAAAAGTTATGTGTGTATTTTCTAGTCTTTTGTGGCTTCCTCTGTAGCGCTCTTCTCTGACCTCCCGCCTTTTGATGAGATTTTTTTTTTTTTGGGGGGGGGGGGGGGCAGTCTGGTCAAGGTTGCTAAATTATAGGCGTCACTATTGTCATAAAATGGTCCAGCAGTTTTAAAGGCGTTTATTGATTTGATCTATTGCCAAGCGCTGCCAACTGCACAACCTGGTCTACTGCAACAAACGATCTATGATTTTGTTTCCTCAACTTCTGCGCTCCCAGTCATCCTGGGTCCTAATGAATCAATGATGCTCAAACCAAGACTTATTTTTTCCTAGCCTCTCCAGCTCAAGTCTATATCACATTCTCCAGTGGGAAATCCCGTTGCGTCGAGAGCTACCGGGTTGAGTGTGTGGTGTGACACTCTAAGCTGTGAAATTCATGTTACTACTTTCTGTTTGTGCTTCTAGATGTGTGTATTGTAAACATCATATTTGGGAAGTGATGAGTAACTGATTGTCACACAGTTGACTTTGTATTTTATGGAGAAATGCATGTACGCTAGTTGGTTTGTCGTGATTTCAGCTTTCGTCAACTATGAATAGCAATTCTGGATAGACTGTAGGTGTTGGCTGCCACTTTTTACATGTGCCTGTCGTTGGATTTTGTTGGGACTGCTCTTTTTGTGACTGTTCACATGGGTCAGTCTCACTGATGAACTATTTTATTCTTTATAATCCAGATTTGGTCTTATCCCGACTTTCCATCTAGTGCTGGTATTCGTAATCCTGTCTCTTCCCGTGTTGTGGGTGACCTTGCGGGAACAGCGCATGTCACATGTAGTTATTGTCTGTTCTAGTGCCCTTTTCATTGTCCATGTTAGGCACTGACAGCGTAAAGTGGAAATAAGATCCTATTAATCATTTGCTGTTTTGTTGGAACTGAAACACTTGGGTATCTCCGCAGTGGGTTTAACTGGTAGGTTAAATCTCTCTATCGAGTCTGTCATCCTCCATTAATATGCTTCCTAAATATGTAACAACTCGTACTTGCTTGACTGTAGCACCGCTAACAACGTTCATGTTATGATGTTTCCTGTCAAGCCAATTATCATTACCTTAGTTTTCACCGTGTTTATTCTCATATGATACTTTGTGCAGCTTTGCTATAAGGAGTCAGTGTAGTGTTGTAAACTCTGTTGTTGGTGGTGTATTAGGCACTGGTCATCAAACCCGGACTGAAAGTCTGATAGCGCTATATGTAGTTTGTGTCCGGATAACGAGAAGTTCCATCAAAACAAAAGCTATATATGGTAAAATGATATCCGTGTCAGAAGCTATCTCGAACACATCGTACAGACAATTTACAACTTAATTCTATGTAGTTTTAGCATTGTTGCTTGTTTCTGTAAGCGTGCGAAAGCAATATTCGGTTTGTCAAGATGTGGTTTTCTCTCTGGTTTTTTTTTTTTTTTTTTTTTATAAGCTCGTATGTGTTTGTTTGTTTGATTGTTTGTCTAGTATAATTTGTTTGCCGTCGATTTCTCTGTTAACAGAAATGGAAGGGCTGAGTGACAAAGTTTTACTTTTTATTTTGGTATATATTTGAAAATGTTAAAAGTAGAAAGGTATTTCAGTTGTCCTGTCATTAACATAAGTGTGTACTGTGAAAGTGATTTATTACCAATCGAACTTTAATTTGCTCGCAGGTATGTCGGAGACTCAACTCCGGCTATCGCCATATCCATTCTTTTGTTCGTCTTGCCTGCCAAATCCCCCGCCAAAATGTGGATGTCACAGACCAAGCCCGCGGACATCTGTAAGTGGGTCATAGTTTAAAGGTTTAAAGGTGAGAGGGTAAGGTTAATTACACCAGATTTTAATGAAACGCATTGATACGACCATCCAGCTGTTTATTTTCCCACTAGGACTGCTGTCTGTTAGATGAAGATTTGAAGGGTGAGAATTGAACCGTTCCAGAACCGGGAAACTATGGTGAACATTATGGAAATGGAGCATAGTTATAATCGGAAACGGCTTTGCAATAGCCTCATCTTCCTAGCCACTAATAAGTCAAGTCAAGATACATTTTTACGCCTTTAGGCCAATCTGGCATATGGGATGAGCGCCCATATTTTTACAGACCAATCGGCACTAGGTGAGTAATGTTGTCAGCATTACACCGGCCGTCTTTACTTCCCCAGGACATAGATCTTGGTACCTGCGACGCCCCACACCAAGATATAAAACCACGCAGCCAGCAGTGGGTTTTGATCGCGGTACGTTAGAATTACGAGTCAGACTGGCAACGCCTAAGCCACGGACGCCGCAGACCAATAGTTAACATAAATTCGGTAAAGAAGACAAGAGGAGACGATCACCAATGGAGAACGAGGAACAGTGATAGGCACTGAGCTGACGCATGATTTCATAGAAAATTAGATAATCAAATGTTTCGGTTGTTTGGTCAGAAAGTAACAAAATCAGCTAGTACGTACTAAATAAGAACAGCAGGCTATAAGGTAAGAAGAGGCTGGCCAAGAAAGTTACGAATGGGTGGAGTACAAGAAACACAACAGACACACGATGTAACATTAACATAAGCTACACAACTTGCAAAACACAACAAACAACCTCAAAGCATAAACATTGCGACACAAAAAGAAAGAAACAATACCACAGATATGATGTCAGTTTCACGTCGGCTGTATTGCGTCCCCTGAACATTTCAAGCCTTTTTCTACTGTTCTTCCCAGTCCATCGTGCGCTTGATATGGTCAATTTTGGTTCCAGTTTCTGAGAAAAGATACTGTTTACAGGCCAATCTTCCTTGATGTTTAGATATGTTAGGACGTCAGAATTAGTTTCACTCCAATGTTGAACAAAGAAAACAGATGTTTTTTGTTTTTGTTTTGTTAGTTTGGAGGGATCTGGAAACTTTCTGTTAGGCGCACTTCTTTGCTTAGAGCAAGTCAACATAATGAAAACTTCAATAAATACCAGATCAGTTAAGGTAGTCTCAAATAGATATGCTATCGATGTGACCAGAGTGCACTGTTCTAAGGTTCTCCTTGGGTTGTCTATGGAAAAAAGACTTGACTACTTACAGAAATTTTCATATGCAATGAGAGTGTGTCCTAAGAAGCTTACTAATTAGAATGAGATTGAAATATTTGTCAGCATTGATTTGTTGCTTGATATGCTGTTAGTATGTTAGGTAATCGACCTTATCATCTCTCATTGCGCATTGGCAACAGTTCTTTTGACCTCAAGTTCTTGTAGCGGAGGAAGCTGGAGACATGCATGCCTCATACAATGTGGCATGCTTCACTTCTGAGGTAATGAATTAAGAGCATTGTCTGGATCTTTTCTCTATGTGATACCACAGATGGGCTGGCTCCACACAACTTGACATTATACTGATGTATGATAATGTAGATGTGGTTATGGCCGTAAAGGAGCAGATGTGCTATTACATAGGAGCAAACTGATCATCACAGTCTGGTGAGACTGATGCAGCGAGGAGTGGCGGGGGGTCTGTCTGACACTCGACGCTCATAGGGAAGGCAAGTCGGACATATAATCAGACTGCATCTGGCACCATTAGTATTGAAACACTGCGCTGGCTGCTGAAGAAAGTGGTGGCGTGCCTATGTCAATGCCACGAGTGCTGGGATGTCGGTTCCTGAATAACTTCAACACAACTCCTGCAGTTTCATCAAGGCTTGCCGATTCACCCTCTTATCATCCCAGAGTGTCCTGGCATATGTTGTCTCTCTTCTACCTTTCTAGCCCCCAATGGAGCACAGGTCCTCAGACAACTGAGGCCAAGTCCCTCTATCTTTCGCTATCGCCTGCAGCTCCCCATGGCCTCGCCATCTTTTTAACTTCACTCTCCAGCTTCCTTCTCCGTGTTTCCTTTTTTTTGGGGGGAGGGGGGGGGGCGGGGGGGGGGGGGAGGGGTCCTTACTTTATTTCTATGCACCTGTTGGTTCCAGTGCAAAGACATTTTAGTTAGATTGTTCTCAGGTTTTCTCAACGTGTGTCCTATCCAACACCAGCGTCTTTTCTTAAACTTTTGGTCCATGGAACTTGCTTAGTTCTCTCCTACAGCTCAACATTAGAGACTCTTATCATAACATAACATATTCTCTCTACAAGTATTCTGAACAAGCACCAGTAAATGAATGTTTGTAGTTTATCTGTAATTGCCTTAGTTGTTCTGCCATGTTCTTACATATTGTGTATGTAATAAATACACCCTGCCTCGAGTTATTTTAAAGATAATGTCACCAATTGTCTTAAATATTTAATATTCCAGTTGGCGACAATGACAAGGACACGGTTTACGAGCCTCTGCTCGACTGGGCAACGGTCAACAGAAGGATGGCTTGGGGCGTGTTGCTTCTGATGGGCGGTGGCTTTGCCATGGCTGAGGCTTGCCAGGTATTGCACCGCTTTTCTCTTTATATCTGTGGCTAAGGCTTTCCAGCTGGCTACGTGATTTCGGTTCGATTCCTGCTACCTACTATTTGGCTGCTGGTCGTGATTTCCACATTGTTATTGAGAGCCGACAGTTTTGTACTGTTTAACTCATTATCGTCGTCCGTTTGGTGTAACCTAGGGCTTGTATTCGATTCCTCCACTATATCGAATGCGATTTCTGACACAAAATTCATCCCAGCATTAAGGAGCCTCTCGTAAAAATGTTTTTTCCTAATGTTTCATTTGGACATTCTCTTTTTCTCTCAGACCATTTGTTTCCATTACAGTGCCTGTTTTGTAATCCATTGCTCATTTCGTCTCAGAGTGTGCAAGTATATCTTCCCCTACCTTGCCTTATTGCAGGCGATACAGGTATTTGTCCAGACATTTCTCTGATCTCCACACTCTTTCTGAATTCATCCCTTTTTATGTTCATGAACCATTAACTGCTAAATGTAAACTTGTCTAGTGAAACCATACAACTCAAACATGCTGTGGTGGTTCTAACAGTCCTGTATATCAACTTTATATCCATTATTCAGCACGATCTGGCATCCCCTTTACTTACAGCTGTACCAATATTTGTTATTTTAAGTACCAAGAAGAGTTTTTGGGTTGCAATACACTGCAGGTTTCTATGTTTGGGGTTAAATTATAGATGTAGTTAACTGATTAATGAAAACGTATGCCGAAGATCCCAGCATGTCATACTGCCTGTTGTAGGGAAGTCTATGGTCGATAAATAAATCTGGTAATTGCACGCAGCCTTCTCTAACACCTTGCTTCATGAGTTTAATGTTTCCAAAGCAGTGTATAGTTGGAGTAAGAAATCCTTCCCTGTTGAAACCACGATGTCAGTGACGAGGCTTGCATTTTAACTGTTGTAATCTGAAGGTCGGGGGCTCAGAACCTGACAAAGCCGGACTTTTTCAGTAATCACCCTGGCTACCTGGTCGACCCAGCCCTAATTACGTACCAGGTAGCGTCCGGGAAGTAAAGGTGGCCGGCTTGATGTTGACCACATCACCCCCCCCCCTTCCGCCGGCGAGTACCGATTGGTTTATAAAATATATGTCTAGCCCTACATGCCCAATAGGCCTGAAGTCCTGGCACTGGGTCCTTTAACATTATCTCTGATGTTTCAGGTGTCAGGCCTGTCCTCGTGGGTCTCCGAGAACATGGAGAGCCTGGCGTCTCTACCTGTGTGGGTCACCGCCCTGCTGCTCTCCGTGATCGTTGCTGGAATTACGCAGGTCACCAGCAATGCGGCTACAACTACACTCTTTGTCCCCATTGTAGGCGATCTAGTAAGTTTGTATCTCTCTCTCTCTCTCTCTCTCTCTCTCTCTCTCTCTCTCTCTCTCTCTCTCACGCCCTCTCTTCTATCCCTCTCGCTCACTCACACTCTTTCTTCCTTTATGTCTCTGTCTCTCTCTCCCTCTCTCTCTCTCTGCCTCTGTCTTTCTCTCTCCCCCTCTCTCTCTATCTCTCTCACTCTCTCTTCTCTCTCTCTCAGTCCCTACCACTCTCTCTTCCTCTCTGTCTCTGTCTCTCTCTCCCTCTCTCTCCCCTCTCTCTCTATCTCTCTCTCTCACGCCCCCTTGTTTCTGTACGTGTTTGCATAGAGCAAATGAGTTCATAAATGTGAGAGGCGATTACTGGCGAATAGTTGGTACAGTATCTCATACCATGTGAATCCTTTTAAAAGCATACCCGTTTTACAACAAAGTGAAATAAGTTAAGTTATAGCCAACACGGATAGAATGCAACGAAAACCACATAGATCTGTCGAAAAAAAGGAGACCCTCAGAGTCAGTGAAATAACTAGAGGTGTATTTTTGTAATTCTTTATTGACACTCATATAAACAAATGAGGGTGGGGGGGGGGGGGAATTACCAGTTAGAAGAACATATTAGAAAACAACAACTTCACAGCTATAAAGACTCTACAGGAATTAGACAGACCAACCCACACACACAAAAAACGGGGCTGGGGGAGAGTGCGGGGGGGGGGGGGGGGGGGGGGGGGTGGGGGGGGGGGTCGGGTTTGGGGCAGGGAAGAAGCAAACAAAGATGCCTGGAGGAAACTTCACTGTCCTAATGGACCTCAAATATGCAAACATCATCTACTGCATCTGACATTTTGAGGTGGAGGTACTCATTCAGGCTGCTAATGGCAACCAATGACCCAGCGACACACCCTGCTTTGGGACATCAATATTGGTAATGAATTACTGAAACGCTTCGCCTCAGGAAAGTCATAAACAAATCCCAAATTCTTCAAAGCAAGTTTGACCCATTTCGGAAGGTGTATGCACCGGGCTTTTGTCTACATTGCAAAAACAGAACATTGTGATGTCCATATGGGTTCCAGGTTCCCACTGTGGGGAAGAGGAGAATAAACGCGCTGCCTATCCAATAAGCATGTCGTAAAAGTCAGCTAATTGAAAGCTTCGAAATCTGAATACATCTGCATGAGCCGCAATATAATAACCAACTGCACACAAATAATCTGTCCAACGGATGTACACGCAAAACTCAGGCACTGTCACACAAAAACAAAGTCCACATGGACGAACAACCAGGACTTTCCAAATGGGGAAAAAAGAAGAAAAAGAAAGTTCGTCATTTCTCCTTGAAAGAAAGGTTGAGATAGCTTTATTGTGGTATACAGCTAGGATGCGAAATCTGCGACTTTCGGCCTAAAACATCACATTTCCACAAACCAGTTAGCCCTGTTGTACTGGTGGCAAGAGAAGCAGGAAGACACAACAGATAGACAACTGTTCTGTAAAACAATAAGAAGATGCATGCGAAAAGTCTAAACAGATGGGCAGCAAATAATAATATACACACACAAGTGTGAAACGACAATGAAAATCTGAGCGTCGTGATCACCGATGCCAGCTACAGATCGAGCAAGAGGGAGAGACGAAGACTTTCTTTCCATCTGTCAGGTAACAAGACGTGACAAGACTTTCTTTCCATCTGTCAGGTAACAAGATGTGCAAGGTTATTCATATTAATGGACACACTTTCAGTAATGCATATTTACTTGAATGTACACTACATATTATTAATATACATTTACGAGAGAGAAAGAGAGGGAAAGAGAGAGAGAGAGAGAGAGAGAGAGAGAGAGAGAGAGAGAGAGAGAGAGAGAGAGAGAGGGTGGAGGCCTACAGTTTACACACTTACAATAAAGATTATAGAAATTCACGATGCCGCCAACTGCTGCTCGGCAAACGTCTTAGCGGTAGCCGAACTCATCCCACACACCAGAAAGCATCTCTTGCGTAACAGAACTCAAAGCAGCTACGATATGCTTGTGTAGGTCGGCAACTTCATCTAGCGGTAGTATTGGAAACCACTTCCCTCTCCCTTGTATGTATATTATTTAAAAGGAATGCATATTCAAGGCAATTTATGGTGTATCCATCATTTTGAATAACCCAATATTGTGTGAGCCGCACAGTTCATTATATTCTGAAAACTGTGTACAACTAACTTATTTCATTAGTTTTTCTTTCTCCACATTCAGACTCTGAAGATTAGAATTCGATTTTTATATTTAATGGTTTCTTTACATTCAGGCTCTGAAGATTGGATTTCGATTTTTGTATTTCATGTTTTCCTTACATTCAGGCTCTGAAGATTGGATTTCGATTTTTGTATTTCATGTTTTCTTTACATTCAGGCTCTGAAGATGGGAATTCACCCCTTGTATTTCATGATTCCGTGTACTATTTCCTCCTCGCTGGCGTTCTTGTTACCAGTAGCAACGCCGCCTAATGCTATAGTATTTGCTGCGGGATATCTACATGTTAAAGACATGGTGAGAAATTCATGTGTATTTGTTTGAATAATTGAATTAATTAATTTATATAATAATTATAAAATAAAACAGGTGGTTACGTTTGATTTTTGTTGAATTTTTTTATTTATTTATAAAGGATTCACTTCTCTGCTTCATTTACGTATTTGTTACCGTAGTATGCACTTGAAGAGATACATCGAAATATGCCAGGCAATAAATTGTGCAGTCAATTGTTTATGTCCTCTGTTTTCAAATATATAAATTAATTAATGATTTGAGACAAAAAAATTAATAGGTTGCCCATAGAGCTTGTCATAGCATACGAGACATACACCAGAAGAGACGAATAGCACGAGGTAGACCAAAAACAAGAGCTGGCATCACAGACTGGTTCCCAGTAACATCCGGAGTAAGACAAGGTTGTGTATTATCACCTTTACTTTTCATAATATTTATGGACAATATTAATAAAATAGACATAACACCAACAGATGTCGATAAACAGGAGGACTTCAATAAGCTGCTCTTTGCCGACGATCAATGCATATTTCACAGTGATAGTAAACAGCTGCAAGACCACACGAACCTACTACACGACAGTTGCCTCAAGCATCATATGAAGATCAATACTGAAAAGACAGAAGTCATGAGCATAAGTAGAGAGCAACAGACCATCGACATAAAGATTCTAGATCACTAAAACAAGTGCAAGAATTTAAATACCTGGGAAGGATCTTTACATCCAATGGTAAAATAGACAGAGAGATCGAAGCGAGAATCCAACAAGCCAACAATGTCGCATACCAGCTTGCCCCAATTTTAAAACACCCTGCTGTCCCAGCTGAGATAAAAAGACAAATTATAAATACAATCTTTATACCGACATTAGGTTATCAATGTCAGACTTGGACATTAACAAAAGAACATGAGAGAAGACTAACCACCTGTGAAATGAGATGTTTGAGAATGGCTGCGAATAAAACCAGAAGAGATCGAGTGAGAAACGATGTGATTACAAGAACTATTGGAACCATACCCATCGTTAAATTTATTGAGAAGCAAAGAATGAAATGGTTTGGTCACCTAATGAGAATGGAACCAACGATGCCAGCATCAAGAGCATACAACATGAAAATCGAAACCACAAGAGGCAGGGGAAGACCAAGAAGAAGATGGATTGAAGGAGTCAAGGACAACTTGAGACTTCATAACATCACGGCATATGAAGCGACTGAGCGCGCCCTGGCTCGGTTGCCGATCATCTGATAGACTGCGACGCCTAGCGGCACAAGAAGATTTTGACAAAAGAAGAAAGAAGACCAAAAACAAGTGAAAATATAACATCATACAAACTAAAGGAAAGTGCTATATATATGGTCCAGGAGGGCAGAAGGGCATGAAGCAATTTTATATCTCTCTTGTCACCCGAAGTGGTAAAAGAGAAAATGAGGAACTATTTAATAACTGTCATCCTGCGTATTGCATTCTACGTTATACAGTCCCCCTCTTCGGCCTACAAAGAAAAGCTCTCAGTTGCCATCTGAATAAAAAGGCTGCCTGTGTTTCCCCGTGACGTAACGACCTGACGGAAACAATATTGACTTGTGAAGACTATGATTCAAATCATTACCCAAATGAACCCTGACTGTTGTCAGAAGAGAGTAGCTGCTTCCTGTGTGCTGAATAATGATACAACGAGACTCGTTGCGGCAGCTTTCCAATGGCTTTTTAATTAAGTTCGGGTGTTGAGATCCAATTTCATAGCTGTATGTAATTAAGGTTAACTCTTTTAATAAAAACAGACCTGAAAAATGATAGTGGTGTGGAATACAAGAGAAACCGCTAGAAGTCACCAGTTTAAGGAAAATCATAATTATTGTTGTAAAGATATCGAGCTAACGAAATATAGAACCTGCAAGCTTCACATAATCACAAAAAATGTACGGCAAGTGAACAGTTCCACCAGAGAGCCTCCATCAGGATATTACATAAATTAATAACAATACATAAAGTAAATTAGCTGATGTATTTGGAGAAAATATTACATGACTTTGTGACCAGCGGAATAAAAAGATTCATGGGACTGTTGAGAATACGTTCTAGCCCAAGAACGCCAAGGGTCATAACTCAGAGATATTAGATACAAGCTGTGTTGAAAGTTACGTCCCCTAGGCGAATTATCGCCCATGAGAAACATAATGCGGTTCTTGAGTGTGAAGTTATCAGTCTAAAGTAATGTCGAATATTAAAAGACAGATAAATAATCTATGTATCTGAATTATCATCTCAGTGTCTGTTAATTGTTTCTTTAATGCTGTTATTTAATGATAATAAATTGCTCTGATATCGATTCTCTACAGGTGTTAGCTGGCCTTCCTATAAATATATTGGCCATCATTATACTGAACCTGGCACTCAACTCGTGGGTGTCCACCCTGTACGATCTTTCAAGTGTATCAGGCGGTCTCCTCAACAGTACCGGCAATGCATCTATACTTTACAGCAATGGATACCACAATTTGTTCAATACCACAGTGTTTCCTGTCAATGGATCTGCTTATTGATGTGATTGACTACGTCTATCTTGTCTGTATACTGTTTTACAAATTGAAATTCTACCGTGCGCAGGGCAAACATCTGCAGCTGCAAAATGCGGCGAAATTTTAGGTGCTGCAACACTATCGAGGCGGAAACACTTTTAGGACTAAATTCGATATTGTTTTTTTTTTTTTAGTTTTTTGGTTTTCAACAAATGATTCATGACAATTCCCGCCCAAGTGATGTGATTGTATATACAGACGGCCCTGTGATGAGGGACAGAGGAAGTTCATTAGTGTTCATAGCAAAAGCGAATGGACGTCTATTGGCGCAACAAAAGCTGGCATATGATATCATAACGACTAGTTTGAGAATGGAGGTGGAGGTAGTCACTGCTGCCTTACACTGGCTTGAGAATCAGCTGTACACACATGTCGTCATTTCAACTGACACACAGAGCATGCTGAGAAAGCATGCTGGAGACATGCTTCATGCAGGCTGGCAAGCATCACTTCAGAGATCCCGGGTACTTAGCATCCTTTGGATATTTTCTCCAGATCATGCGGTGTGTTGGGAATTGAGCAGGTATATAGACTGGCCGATTTTGCTCCACTTTGTGGTGAACTGATGTATGACAAGCGGGATGTTGTGAGGGCCCGTTGGAAGCGAGTGGACAGTGCCGAGGAACAGATAGATTATTACGGTCTGAGGAGAATGGCACTGCATTGAGTTACAAGGTGATCTGGCCGACGCTCAACACTCTTGGAAGGGTCGAGACGGATATGCAATCAGTTACTGTTGCATCAGAATTTTAACTCTCCGTTTGCTGCTGGAGATGGGGACGGAGCACTAATTGGACATGCCTGAGTGCTGTGGTGTCGATTCTTAATTCAACATTCGATATTTTTTGACAAGGTGTAGTTTCAATGTGTATTTGTGTGTGTGTGTGTGTGTGTGTGTGTATGTGTGTGTGTGTGTGTGTGTGTGTGTTCTTCAGCATTCCGATCACTTGAGGTTCATTGCTGCAGATGTTACTCGCCTGCACTCATCTCTCTGGTTGGCTTCTCTTTCCAGTTAGTAACACCAAGTGTTTGCAGGTCTGTCTGAACATTATCTCTCCATCGTCTTCTGTGTCTGCCTCGTCGTCTATTGCCATTCATCTCCCTTGTGTATACAGTTTTTAACTCTCTGTCATCAGGCATTCTTTCGATATGCCCCAATCTTTTAGATCTGATTATGTCAATTATCAGTGGTGATTTAAACAGTTAACTTCGTTGTTGCTTCTAACTCTCATTCCTAGCGGTTTTCATCTTTCATGGGCCCACAGATTCTTAACTCTTTAAGTCCCAGGGGGTTTAGCATCAAAGGCCCAGGGGTAGTAAAGAACGTAATAAATCGGCGCATCATGCGTTCATTGGGCTTCTAGGAAGGAACTTATGAACGTATGATGCGTTTCTTGGGACTCAAAGAGTTAATAAGACTCTGTTTTCGAAATTGAGTAAAAAATACTTGAAATTTTTTAGTTGTGCACCAAGTTTCAGAATATTAAACCTCCAAGCCCCATCCCCCACCCCTCCCTTTTTCGTAAAACGTTAGTTCGTTAGAGACCAAATATCTGAGCCTCGATTTTAGATGGATTTAAACGGACAACAAAACCGGAACGTTAAGTAATTTTTGAAATATTCACACACACAAACACGCACACACAAGTATGATATTCACCTGTGGTGGTCATGTTATGGGTGTTAACACATATTTTTGTCTTCACAACTGTTTATAAAATCTCAACATCCACATTTGTTTTATTTGTTGTGTATTCATTTGAGTTAATATACTTTAGTTAAGTTTAAAACTCAAGTAAACGTTGGTAGTCTGTACACGAATAGAGACTGAGAAACGAGCATGCAGATGGAATGGCCGGTTCATCATCACTTGGTGGTGAAGTGATATTTGACAAGCTAGATGTTGTGAGGGCCTTTTGGGAGCGAGTGAAAAGTGGGGAGGCACGAAAAGATCATTACGGAATGAGAAGAATAGCGTTGGGAGGAGTTACCAGGGGATCTGGCTGAACCTCAACTCTCAAGGGAAAGGCGAAAGGGAAATACAATCAGATAGTTACTAGTGTCTTCTGAATTGGAACTCTTCGCTTGTTGCTGAAGATGGGGACGGAACACTTAGGAGTGTCGCGAGTGCTGTGATGTCAATTCTTAATTCAACATTCATGTTTAGCCGAGGGAAAAGGGAGCCTAGAATAAGTGGTAACTACACAGGTGTGGCAGACATGTTGAATGCAGCCTTGGTTGTACGGAAGATGTTTTTTTTTTAACAGTTTACTCTAAAAACTGTTTGAAGATCGATTTAAGTGTATTAAATTTTATCCAATATTACTCGCTCTTTCTGCAAAACGGCTGGCAAGTGAAACGCAGTGTACTAACTCTGTAGCTCTAGTGGCGATCCTCGTGGGTGTCTGAAACAGCTCCTTATCATTATGGAGCAGGTCCTTTAAAGACACTCGGCCTCTCGCCAAAACCCCACCTAGTGCACTTGTCAACCAAAGTTGTCACTCATATCTTGTGTTCATTGTTCTGCCAAAGTTGTCACTCATATCTTGTGTTCGTTGTTCTGTCAACGTTGTCACTCATATCTTGTGCTCATTGTTCTAACAAAGTTGTCACTCATATCTTGTGCTCATTGTTCTAACACAGTTGTCACTTATATCTTATGCTCATTGTTTTAACAAAGTTGTCACTCATATCTTGTGCTCATTGTTCTAATACAGCTGTCACTCAGATCTTGTGCTCACTGTTCTGCTGGTTGTGACCTGCCGCTGTTTCGTTACATTTTGCTACTTTTCTATTTAGTTCGTGGCGGGCTGTGTGGGATCTAGGCATGGTGTCCGCCTTGAGTGCTAGAGGTTCTGGGCTCAATCCCTGGTAAGAGCTTGGATTTTTTAACGCGGACTTGAACTTCTCGGCCTGATGCTGACCACATCACCCATCTGGTCTCTGTTTAATAAGACTGTACGCCCGTGTGTATTATTGCGCACGTGAAAAATCCAATGGCAGAAATCGAGAAGAGTAGCCTAACGGCTCTGCCCAGGCAAAAATTTAGAGTGAAAAATCTACCTTAAGTATTTCAGGATCCTCGCCTGTGCTACAGAGCCTATGCACTGTGCGAGCTTCTTCTGACTTGAATTAGAAGAAGAACGGAGCACTTATGGGTTACTAGCCGTGTGTCATGATGTTGATTGATCATGTCATGAGAAGGAGAAAGCTTGAGTACATTATGAAATGTTGGAGGGAAAAAAGAGGCAGAATAAGACAGGGAGAGAGAGAGAGAGAGAGAGAGAGAGAGAGAAAGGGGGGGGGAGAGAGAGAGAGAGAGAGAGAGAGAGAGAGAGAGAGAGAGAGAGAGAGAGAGAGAGAGAGAGAGAGAGAGAGATTATTCTGGATAGTCTGACATCATGGCATGACAGATAATCTAGGTCACAAGCTAGACAGAAAGGTGTTGATCGAGATGACTACCGCATGGCATGGACTTAAAGAAAAAGAAATAAATATCAGCTGGATAACTATACTAAATCAACAACTTTGTAATCGCCATAAAAGAATGATTTTATAATTAAATAAATAATTAAATAAACAGAAAATATACATTGCAGTAAATAATATTTTTCTGTATACAATTTGGAAAATTTGAAATCCTCTAAAATTTCACAGCAGTTTTAAACTCTTTCAGGACCCTATTTTTTCTGCGGTTTGGACAGCATTAATTTTGAGCAGAATTTTTTTTTTACCTCAACACGACAAAGCTGAAACCTTCCTGAGGAAAATTATTGGCTGTATCATGACATATAATATATGAAATGAAAGATAAATGAGTGCAGAATAATTCTAAATTATTTAAGTGTCAGCATTACAACAAAATATTATTAAAATCACACAACATTCAAGGGTGTTAGACGCATATGAAGATTAGGTTAGTTGCGTATCCTTCACAGGACGTTGCAGAACCAACCCCCACCAGCCCCTGGCTGTTGTATGGTTTCACTAGGCAAATTTATGTCCAGTAGTGTGCTATTGCCCCTGACGGTCGGCTTCCTGATACCACTGTCGAAGCCAAAGCAAGGCGTATGGCCCGCAGCTTAATCGAACCCGGTACCCCGGCATTACGAAGCGTTCGCAATGACTTAGCCACAGAGCCGACTCATATGAAGATTATTTACTTAAAAAAACTTATTTGTTCACTTGTTCAACAACACTGCTATCCAATTGTAAGAATTCACATGCCTTCTCTGTTCAGTTATTTATAAACTAGTTTCAGTCGCCCTTTAAGCTCTTGAGGCACTCTTTTTTTTTTTTAAACCGTTTGAGGTCTTTTGCCTTGTGTTTCCTTGTTGCATTAGGCTTTTGAGTGTTTCTGGAGTTGGAATTAGGCTGCTTAGCAGCGAACGGTTTTTCCTTTTAACCAGGTCGGCCTCCTTAATTTCTACCATGCACCCCCCCCCGCCCCCCCCTCGACTTATTTTTCTTCTGCCCTTCTGGTCCCAGATGGAGCATGGGCCCCCAACCAACTCACGCCAAGTTGTTCTATGCTTCGCTATCGCATGCAGCTTTCCCTATGTCGTCCCCATCTTTTTAACTTCATTCGCTGGTTTCCTTTTCCGTTTTTTTTTTTTTGGGGTCTTTTTTTTTTTTTATTTCTGTGCCCCTGTGGCTTCCAAGATATTAAACTTTAATTTTCCCAGGCTTTCTCAACTCCCTCCCCCACCCTGCTACCTGGAACTTGTTTGGTTATCTTCCAAAGCTCTGCTTTAATGATTCTGTTGTGGAATTTAATTACATATATTCTGCGCAGACACCAGTTTATGAACATTTGTAGTTTATTAGTAACTGATTTTGTTGTTGTCCGTGTTTCCGCTCCATTCAACAGTTCTGATGGGACATACCAATAAAAAAATTTAAGTTTAGTATTAGTTTTAATTTCGTTTGACCTCCACACATTTCCTAGTGATATGAAAACTGCT